GGGGGGGGGGTAATCACAACAACAAACAGCTTATTTAGAATTAGTGATTAGTAAAGGTTTTTATACGACTTCATAAAGCTATAAAAATGTATTTAAAAAAGTAATTTAAAAAAATTATAATAATAATTTGTGTTTCACAAAAATACATGCAAACAAGTTTTGGAACAACATGAGGATGAGTAATTAATGAAATATGTTTGGGTGAACTATCTCGTTAAAAGTCTTGGAACACTTCAGATGAGTCACATCTCAGGAGGTTCCTGCATGTTTTCCAGATTTCACGGGGGCGCCGTTTATATGAATTGTTGTCAAGGTACAGAAGCTTTTGGGGGAAATGTTATTGTCCTCCAAACAATCTCTCAGCATTCATCTCCAAAACACGTAAACATGAGAAAAGAGTAGAGAGTTTACATTGCTTAACTCCTGTTCAACGTCACACTGCATTACCAAAATACATAATAAAGTTGATTTATTATATTTTTATACTATAATACAACAGGTGTGTACTATAAATGTATTTCATTGTATTAGTGTGAGCCTGAAATTATGTAAATAAACTTTTTTTTTCTTCCAGAGTTATGGCTGTCCTGTGCTATACAGTGTGTGTGTGTGTGTGTGTGTGTGTGTGTGTGTGTTCAGTCAGGCATCAGATTCTTGGGACTGTAATGTTGGGCTGATGTTCAGAGCAGGACTGAAGTCAGTCAGAACAGAATGTGCTCCATACAAGAGACATGAGCATGTGGATGCTCCCTAGATTTGCATAACAGGCAAGGTAAGTGCTTTATCTTTTCTTCATATTATTGTTCTGATATTAGTTTCACTCATTTTGAGATATTATAACCTGCTTAAAACATTTCAGAATTATATGACAAAACTTAACATAGAACTGAACATTGCATCTGACTTTATTGCATGTATTTGTTTGATCTGTAAACAACATGCATGTCATTGTTTAAAGTGTTTTGATGCACAAGTTCTGATTCATCACCTGATTTATTAAACTTTATTACATTTGTTCAAAAATGTCCAAGGACCAGCTTGTGGTAGCATTAAAAGTGTATATTCATCAAACAAGAAAATGATTTTTTTAGTCACTTGTGTTGGTCTTTGTAATGCACAATATGCACCATGAACACATTTTAAAGATGCACAGAAGGTCTGATTTTTCTTTGATCGTCTTTAAGGTTAGATATGAATGAAAGCATGGCCAAAGGGTTTTTTCTGTGCCTGCTGCTTTGGCTGCTTGTACCTGCGGCCAGATGCCAGAACAGAAGACCGTCTGGAGAAACACTGAACCTCACCACAAATCAGGACAATGGTAAACGCATCAGTGTTTCATTCGGTGTCAGAGTATCGTTTATTGTGTTGGCTTAGTATTGCATGTAAAAAAAATATTATTATTTATTTATTTAGTCATTTAGCAGACGCTTTTATCCAAAGCGACTTACAAATGAGGACAACAGAAGCAATCAATTGTAGTATTAAAACAACTAAAAACAGATCCAAAACTAAAGGCTAAAACTTTATAAATACTACTTATACACATTTTAAAAATAAAGAAATTAAATGAAAATGACAAATGCATACAACAAAATTTCAAAACTTAACATTTAAATGAAAAACAAAAAATAAAGCTAAAAACAATTCAAAATATTAAAGAACAAAAGGTATAAGAGTATAATAATGATTCTAACATAACACTAAGCCAAACACCAAAAAAAACCAACTAAATATATGTGTATGTACAACCACACACACATACATATATACTGTATATGTACATACACATGTATAAATTCAATATATATATTATTTCATTTCCATTTAGTTTGTTGAAGTATTAAAATAACTCAAATTAAAACTAAAACTTAATAAAAGACATATACAGACATAATAAATTCAGACATAATGTAACTAAAATTAAAATAAATAACAAATACAAATATATATATATATATATACATACACATACATACACATTTATAAATCCAATATATATATTATTTCATTTCCATTTAGTTTGTTGAAGTATTAAAATAACTCAAATTAAATAAAACTAAAACTTAATAAAAGACCTGTACAGACATAATAAATTCAGACATAATTTAACTAAAATCAAAATAAATAACAAATACAAATAATACAAATCAAACGACAGTAGTTTATCAGTAATCCTAAAAAATAACACTGCCAAACTTACATGCTAAAAAACAACAACTTACTTACACATAGTAAGAAATGGTTATAAAAAACTGTAACAGAAGCGAAACAAGTAATAGGAAATAACATATAAATAAATAAACATATATACACACACACACACATATATATATATATATATATATTATTTTTTTTATTTTTTTTTTATTTAGTTAGTTAGTCATTTATTAGACTCTTTTATCCAAAGCGACTTACAAATGAGGACAACAGAAGCAATCAATTGTAGTATTAAAACAACTAAAAACAGATCCAAAACTAAAAGCTAAAACTTTATAAATGCTACTTATACACATTTTAAAAATAAAGAAATTAAATAAAAATGACAAATGCATACAACAAAATTTCAAAACTTAACATTTAAATGAAAAACAAATATAAAACTAAAAACAATTCAAAATATTGAAGAACAAATGGTATAAGAGTATAATAATGATTCTAACATAACACTAAGCCAAACACCAAAAAAACAACTACATATGTGTATGTACAACCACACACACATACATATATACTGTATATGTACATACACATTTATAAATTCAATATATATATTATTTCATTTTCATTTAGTTTGTTGAAGTATTAAAATAACTCTAATTAAATAAAACTAAAAACTTAATAAAAGAGCTATACAGACATAATAAATTCAGACATAATTTAACTAAAATTAAAATAAATAACAAATACAAATAATACAAATCAAACGACAGTAGTTTATCAGTAATCCTAAAAAATAACACTGCCAAACTTACATGCTAAAAAACAACAACTTACTTACACATAGTAAGAAATGGTTATAAAAACTGAAACAGACGTAAAACAAGTAGTAGGAAAGAGGAGAAATAAAAAGCGATACTTATTAAAAATTATTAAAAATGAATGTTAGATATCTTTAATATCTCAGTAGTTTCTTCTAGACAATAATAAGAGTAACTAAAAGACTTTTTTTCAGGAAAAGTCCAAAAGTCTCAAGACAAACCAGATAGGCTAAACTTTGCTCAAATTGTTATGATGGTAATATAACTTGTGATGGGAATTTTTTAGACTCAATTAGAGAAAAGGCTAAATAAAATCATTTTTGTGAGGGGTCTTTTGTACCCCATCACTCTAAACCCTATAAAGCCTACTGTATCATATTTGATACACAAATTTCTAAGCACTCTAAATGGTCAAAACTGCACTAAAAACCTTTTGTACACGATCTACTACATGCCTTCTGTCTCTGTTAGATAGTTTCAACTTTTAACAATTAAAAGGCCTTTTAATATGATCGTAAAATCTTCCACCTTCAGGTTGTGGTTCACCTGTCTTTTTGCTGTGAATTTTTTTACGGATTTTTATAAAGTAAACATATGAATAATTTTTATATCTTTAGTAATATTGCAAGATGAACACTTACTGGACTTAAGCAGCTTAAGGTTTACTTTATTATCCATACTTCAGAAGAAAAAAAAACATGATAAAATGTGAGCATCATATACAATCATCAGGCTTTTGAGGAACTTTTTTTTGTTCATCTCTCAATCATCATGGTTTTGCATTGCATTATATGTTTTGAAACGATTTTAGATCAATGGGAATTTTTTAGACTCAATTAGAGAAAAGGCTAAATAAAATCATTTTTGTGAGGGGTCTTTTGTACCCCATCACTCTAAACCCTATAAAGCCTACTGTATCATATTTGATACACAAATTTCTAAGCACTCTAAATGGTCAAAACTGCACTAAAAACCTTTTGTACACGATCTACTACATGCCTTCTGTCTCTGTTAGATAGTTTCAACTTTTAACAATTAAAAGGCCTTTTAATATGATCGTAAAATCTTCCACCTTCAGGTTGTGGTTCACCTGTCTTTTTGCTGTGAATTTTTTTACGGATTTTTATAAAGTAAACATATGAATAATTTTTATATCTTTAGTAATATTGCAAGATGAACACTTACTGGACTTAAGCAGCTTAAGGTTTACTTTATTATCCATACTTCAGAAGAAAAAAAACATGATAAATGTGAGCATCAAATACAATCATCAGGCTTTTGAGGAACTTTTTTTTGTTCATCTCTCAATCATCATGGTTTTGCATTGCATTATATGTTTTGAAACGACATATTTTAGATCATAAAACTAAGCATATAAATATCACCTTACTAAGACATATTACTGGGAGATTTAGAGTGACAACTGATATTTATATGCATTTTTTAAGTAGTCTGCCATACTGTTATAAAGATCTCATTGATTTACATTACAAGCCATCAGAATTTTTGGCCATATAAATATCAGATACTGCAACAAATTGTATATTTTTACTCAGTTTGGTTGTCTGAGCTGTTTTTTTCTTCCTTTTGAGCTCCATATTCTCTTATATCACACTACTCAAAACAAACACATTAAAACACAAGCATTTTTTTTATTTTGTCTAAAGGTTCACTAAAAACTGTTCCATTAAAATAAATAAATAAATAAATAAAAATTCTGGCTATTATTTCATATGTCAGAACTATAGTTGACCATAGCTGATAAAGTGTGTTTATGTTTTTTTTTTCTGGTTTCAGAGTTAGTATGCACACTAGAGATCGCGTTCATCCTGGACAGCTCAGAGAGTGCGAAGGGCCTTCTGTTCGATCGAGAGAAAGCGTTTGTGCGCTCCTTCAGCAAGCGGGTGGCACAGATGCAGGTGTCCGACTGGCATCTGAAAACCCGTATGGCACTCATCTACTACAGCAGCTCAGTCCATATCGACCAGCACTTCAAAGACTGGCAGGAGCTTGACGTCTTCCTGAGCAGATTGGCAGACGCCATCTACATCGGCCAGGGAACGTACTCCACATACGCCATATCCAACGCCACTCAACTCTTCACCAGCGAGACCAAGGAGCAAAGTGTGAGGGTCGCCCTGCTCATGACCGACGGCATCGACCATCCGCGGAATCCTGACATCATGACGGCGGTCGCCGAGGCCAAAGGCCACAACATTAAGATCTTCACAATTGGCTTATCAAACTTGGCAAAGGACAACGTGAACAGTGCCAAACTGCGGGTCGTAGCGAGCAGCCCAGCGCAGCAGTACTCCCACAGCCTCACTGACCCCAAACTGGAGGAACGGCTCCTGCAGCAGCTCGTGAGACATTCACTTCATCTGTCAGACTCATCAGACATGATGAGCCCATATTATAAATACAAATAAATGATCAATTAAAAATATAATGGAAAGTAAAAGATGCATTCAGATAGCACAATTAAATTATACAATAAACAAAAACAGTCAATACTGAATTGAGCATTTTGCATCAAATGAAGTCATGATTTTATCACTTTGTGCAACAGAGTATGCTAATATAAATGATTAATTACTATAATAAAAAATATAAAAATTGTATATTTCATGAAACACACACATATAACTTCTATATATATAATTTCTATGCAAACACACAAAATCACCCTTTGAATTAAAAGGATATTAATTAATTACTTATTATAATTAAAATGTTTAAGAATATTAAAAATCTAATATAAAAATCGATTAATGAATTCTATAAATATAATAAAAAATATAAAATAAAATGATTTGTATATATAACACAAAATCACCTTGTGCAACTTTCATATATCATATATCGACAATTCATATATCATGTGTAATATATTTTTATTTCAATTTTATTTTAATTATCTGTGCAGCCTTAAACCTAAAGAGAGAAATGAACAAACAAACAAGTAAAAACACGAATGGCCCACTAATACTCTGGAGTATGAAGTTTTGCATCCAGAGCACGTTTTAATAATAAAAAATAAATAAAAAGAAACACAAAGAAACTCTATGAAAATTAAAAACCATCTAACACAATATAGTTTTGGATAATTCTAAATTCTGAATCTAAACTTCTTGATTGCTTAAAATCTAAACTGCTTGATTGTTATATCATCTAAAAATATAAACTATATTAGCCATGAATAGCCATGTTTGTGTAAAATGCTGATTAACACACACCTGTGATTTAGGTCAATAAGAAACCACCAAGCAGCCACCCATATTGCATATTTGGGAAGCAACATGGTAATAAGTGCTCAAAACATTTTGGCATACACAGAGACACACGGCACTCATTTCTCACATGGACTCCAGCTGACATGCCACTTATTAATTTAGCTTTGATTCAAGCTCTTGCTTTCTATTTCTATATTCCAGCCTACAGGAAATGTTGCTGTTATTTTGGGTCAGATAATAGATGCTCACAAATGGGCATCTAGATTTGATTTGTGATGGTTTGAGATCCAGTGTTCAGTCTGCTGTCCTGGGGCATGGTTCACACATCAGTGGGTGTGGGGGATTTTCCACAGAAACACAGAAGGGGCTGCCGCTCATGAAATGTCAAGCACTGTCTGTGATCGCACAATACGGGCCTCTTAGAAATGCATCAAAGTTTCCCATGCCATGCATGCACAGGATTTGACAATAAATTGAATTCATTTTGGTACTGTGATTTGTGTTCTAATTCTCATTTCTCATTTCATTTTTTTTTTCAGGAAATAATTGCAAAGAATGAAGTAAGTACTGAACTATCAAAAATATTTGACTTGATTAAACAAAGCATATTATACCAAAAACTCATTCTTAAAGGGACAGTTCACCCAAATGTGAAAATTCTGTCATCATTTACTCACCCTCATGCCGTTCCAAACCTGTATGAGCTTCATTCATATTTTGAACACAAAAGAAGATATTTTGAAGAATTTTGAAGAACCAAATAGTTGTTGGTCCCCATTGACTTCAATAGTAGGGGAAGAATTACTACTATCAAGTGTTTGGCAAAATATCTTCTTTTGTGTTCAACAGAAGAGAAAAACTCAAACAAGATTGGAACGACATGAGGGTGAGTAAATGATGACAGAATTTTCATTTGTGGGTGAATAAATTTTTTTTTTTAAATGCTGATTGCAAACTACCTGTTGGTTGTATTCCTCCTGCCAGTGTCCACGGCCACCAGTGTGTTTGTGTGAGAAAGGTGAACGCGGTCCTCCAGGAGCTCCTGTGAGTATCGCTCAGATGAAATTGAGGCCATTTTCGTTTATTAGTGTCATTCATGAGAAAAACTCTACTTTGTTTAGGGTAAAAAAGGAGAGCAAGGTTATGAAGGAGCACCTGGTCAAAAAGGCTCAAGGGTGAGAGTGAAAATAATTACCTATAATTATGATTATTAGATCTATAGTTTACTGTTGTTGACTAGTTGATCTGACCTGTTTTACAGGGGGAAACAGGAGCATCCGGTCTTCCAGGAATCAACGGTCCAGAGGTACATCACATCTTCATATAATCACTTTATACAGTCTGTGTTATCAATGACTCTCTGACCAACACTGGTTCTGTTCCTGGTTCCTCATCCACAGGGAAGACCTGGGTTCAAAGGTGATAAGGTGAAACCTCAGAGTTTTATATTTCACATATACATATGTTAGTGCAATGAATTCATTAACAGCTTCATACATAATGATCTTGATGACTCATGATGTCAGATCAGAGAGAGAAACTATTATTTATAAACTATTATTAAGAGAAACTATTATTATGATTTTTTAAAATGTTTTTAGAAGTATCTTGTGCTCACCAAGGCTGCATTTTTTGATCAAAAATAAAATGTTAAAATAACTGTTTTCTATTTAAATATAGTATTTTAAATGTACTAAATTAGCCAATTAGAATGATTTCTGAAGGATCATGTGATACTGAAGACTGGAGTAATGATGCTGAAAAGTCAGGTTTGCATCCCTGGAATAAATTATTTGATATAACATATTCAAATAATAATCAGTTTTTTTTTAAATGTGATATTTTACAATATTATAATTTTTTTCTGTATTTCTGATCAAATAAATGCAGCTTTGGTGAGCATAAGAGACTTCTTTAAAAAACATCTTAATTATCCAGAACCTTTGACCAGTAGTGTATGCTAAATTAATATTGTGCACATATAATAAAATTGCAAAATTCATATTCTCATCAGAATTATTAATGCTACTATCACTGTTCTTACACATTCTGTTCCACAATGCAATCGCTAAGACTTGAGTCATGTTTTAGGGAGATCAAGGTAACTGTGGACCACCAGGACAAAAGGGACATAAGGTATGTCTTCTGTACTGACCTAAAATATTTATATTCTAATATACAGAATACATGATTAATAAATAGTTTTTATTGTATTTCACAGGGCACCGAAGGGCCTCCAGGGCCGAGGGGCCCCAGAGGAGAGCAGGCACAGTATAAATATTTACCATTTACATGACATATTATATGCCACACTGAAGGTTTCAGCTGAATTAGTATACACTGTTTTTTATATTGTGGGATACTCATTCAGTTATTTTAGTATTTAATTTGCAGTTGTTGGTCCCCATTGACTTCAATAGTAGGGGAAGAATTACTACTATCAAGTGTTTGGCAAAATATCTTCTTTTGTGTTCAACAGAAGAGAAAAACTCAAACAACTAAAATAAATAAAGTTGGGAAAATTTTGTAAGAGCCGCCAAAAATTATAGTCAAAAATAATTAATTATTTCTTTAATTATGACACATCTCACAGACAGTCACATTGAATGAATTTATGTATTTATGAATTTTAATCAATGCTGCTCTTAAAAGTTGATCTCTGATCATTCTTTTTCTTGTCATTTAGAATATAACTGTTAACATTATGTATAAATGATAATTGCATTATTTGTCCATATATGTACAATTATATTATATAAATGCTTTACCTTATATATGAATGCTTAGATAGGTGTCGTATTCCCATAGGTAGATGGGGATCAGCTGAGAGTCAGCTGATGCGAGCTTGACTAACGTGACCTGCCAGAACTAACGCTACGCTTGATATTTATAAATATAAAATTCAATGCATTAGTTGTATCACAAGTTGTCTCATCACAAATGTGGTGATCATGGCAGTCCGTGGCTGTTTCCCCACCCTGCACTTATGGAATGTGAACGGCAGATCGCTCGTAATCCTATGCTAATGTACACATCTAAAGCAGTGAATCCAGGCTTGCAGGATATTATTCTTTTTCTGAGGACGACTTTGTACAGTGGGATTAGTGAAGAGACAGAGTAGTTCAGATCGACTGGGTCAAGTCCCTCAAAACCCGTACATTTTAACAGGCATCTAGCAGCCTAAAAATGCCATATCATCCTATATTATTAGTGTTTATTGCATCTAGGCATATGGTTGAAGAATTGTAAAAGGAATAGTTCACCTAAAAATGAAAATTTGCTGAAAATGTACTCATCCTCAGGCCATCCAAGATGTAGATCATTTTTTTTCTTCATCAGAACAGCTTTGGAGAAATTTAGCATTCCATCACTTGCTCACCAATGGATCCTCTGCAGTGAATGGGTGCCGTCAGAATGAGAGTCCAAACAGCTGATAAAAACATCACAATAATCCACAAATAATCCACATGACTCCAGTCCAGTCCATCAATTTATGTCTTGTGATGTGAAAAGCTGTCTATTTGTACGAAACAAATCCATCATTAAGGCATTTTTAACTTCAAAGCACTGTTTACAAGCAAAAATGTTTTAGTGTTATTATAAATTATGGAATTATGGACTATTTTAGCCAGAAACAAAAGTTTAGCAGTTAAAATATCTTAACGATGAATTTGTTTCTTACAAACACACAACTTTTAGCTTCACAAGACATTAATTGATGGACTGGAGTGGTGTGGATTACTTGTGGATTATTGCAAAGACTACAGAATACCCAAGACGTGTCACTCGTATAGTTTTGAATGGGGAAAA